AGAAAGAAAGAAAGAAAGAAAGAAAGAAAGAAAGAAAGAAAGAAAGAAAGAAAGAAAGAAAGAAAGAAAGAAAGAAAGAAAGAAAGAAAGAGAGCCAGTCTTATTTTCGGGGAAACACGGTATTATTTTTGGTCGTTATTTTAACTATTTTATTTTTATACTTTGATGTTGTGAGCTACCCAGAAAGTTTCATTGTAGGTGACCAAAAATGTTTGAAGATTACAATGTGCCAGGAGGGGAGGACAACCCAAAAGCTATAGAGATAGAGTGCCCACAAGGTCTGCTAAAGGATGTTTGCCTTGTTCTTAGGAGAAATGTGGGTTATATAACCCCACGGTCAGTAATGCCCACAAGACCTGATACTGTCTGGAGTTAGATTATCTGTCAGCATTACTGAGCCTCTTTAGGGTAAATCTACGACTGTGATGTTCTCCAGATCAATTAACTCTTTCTGGAGTCCAATGACACACTAATCTTTCCCTCCTTTGATCCAACTGCATATTGTGGAAAAACAGTCTTTCATTTTACAGTGGTCAAATGGACCAAATGTCATGGAGCAAATATTTTTTGGCTTGTTTTTCACCCCTTCCTAAAATAAATATCATTTGCTAATCATAATTCCCTTTTTTTTACACATTACCTGCTCCAAAAGGAAGAAATGCTTCTTTTATCACAAAATGTCCTTCCTTGTCCAAAAAATGATTTGGGTTGAACTCTTCAGGGGCCTCCCAGTGTTCAGGATCGAAAAGAACAGAACGTAGGTCTGCAAGAATAATAGCTCCCTATAAGAAAGAAACAGACCAATGTAAACATCCAGATAAGCACGGTGGTGGGTTGTTTTTTTTTTTATTTATTTATTTAAAAAAATTGGTCGCTCTTTTTACCACAAGTAACTCTACTTGTTTCTGGATAGCCTATTTCTTGCATCATTCAAATATATTTAAAAAGTAATTTAATTTGGAAGACACTATCAGGTTTAACCGAACTGGAATTAATATATGGAATGTGAATTTAGACTTAACTCGTTAACAGGCATCTATGCTAAATGGAAATTTTAAATTTTAATTAGGCTTTTAACACAAGGTATGTTTAAAAAACCATCATCTATCATTTATATGAAATTCATTCAATTTTTCATACTACCATCTTTCTCCCAAGTTTTAAAGCTGATTTCTCCATAAAGCCAATTTATGGGAAAATGGTCAAATAGCTTTCTAAGTGATGTAATTGTTTCTAATTGGTGTAAACATCAGCTGCAAATGAAGCCAATTTGTGTTCAACTGAGATATGTACTGAGCTGAAAACATCCGCCAAGCTATCCTACTTCCTTGACATGGACAGTCTGAAGCCGTATGGAAAAACACTATCTGAAATTATCGCTTAAGTATGGTGTATATATACAGCCAAGATATTGCAATGGAGTTGGGATTGGACAAACATGCTACCCTCATCATCAACAGGAGAAAACAGTGAAAACTGAAGGAATCAAGATGTCCTATGGAAATAACATCAGGGGTCTGGATGAAGAAGAACGCTACAAATATGTAAGCATCCTTCAAGCTGACATCAAGCACATTGAAGTTAAGAAGAAGGTTGGAAGTGAATACAATACACAAAAAGACATCCCTTGCAACAATTTTGTGGTGAGTTATACTTGCTAAAACTTGCTTTGTGTAGTTATCACCTTGGCCACTATTTTTAATCATATGCTAACCTAATTAATTCTCACAACAGACTCTACCACACAATATCTCGTATCAGGCTATGCAAATCCATTTGCTGGTTTTTTACCTTAGCAGTTAAACTTATTCTTGGACTGCAGCCACTGTTTATCTGAAAGAGGAATACTTCGTTTCGTCAAGTTGCCTAGCCTGCATTCGCCTCTACACTGCAAATGTGGCTTTTCAATTGCACATTTTCAGAGCTCACACATTGCGTTAAAGGAGCTCTGCCGAAGAAATCCTTCATCAGGGTGAAACCCTTAAACTGAAGCTCCAGTAATTCCAAAGAGTCTATAAGCCATACCTTGGGAATGAGAAAGCCATTTGAATAGATATCCTGCACACTTTGTCTAGGAAATCCAAACAACAAGATATATTTGTTTCGCATGATTTCATGAATCACAGCATTGGTGTATGGCAGTTTCTTCCGATCTTCATAACAGATGGTGTGAGATGAACTGAAAACTTCTTCCATTTCCTCATATACTTTATCTAAGGAAAAGAGTGAAAACAGGAGGTTCGTTTCTGACTCTGATTTTTTGTCTCTGTAGGTTTCATTTTATCTCCCTCTTGACTAAGGGAAAATTTTATCACACAAAGGCTAGTTTTGCCTTGACAAATAAAATTGAATGCTTCTGCTTGTATTATCTCTAACTTAATGATCTTATTTACAAATTTTATTCCTTTATCACTAAAATTAAATTAAAAATTGTCATGTCATTTGCAAGTTTAATAAATTTCCTTCTAGATGGGTATTATTTTCAGTCTATTTCTAGATTATATTACAATTTTATGCATATGTCCAATTTTTCTATTATTGTTATTTCAATATTTACCATTTTTATCCATAATTATTAAGTTCTCTTCTAGGAGATTGATGTCATTCTGTCTCTACCCTTCATGCGTAAGTATGTTCAGGGTTGCTGCAATGTGTTTGTACTTGTCTAAATAGTGTCCATACACAGCTTCTCTTGTGGGGGGTTGGGTTGTTATTTTGGTCGTGGAGCACTTGGTTGGTATAGGTCAGGGGTAGGCAAACTTGGCTCTTCTATGACTCGTGGACTTCAACTCCCAGCTCAGGAATTCTGGGAGTTGAAGTCCACAAGTCATAAAAGAGCCAAGGTTGCCTACCCCTGGTATAGGTAGTTTTACAATTGAATTATGTTTCTAATTTGCTGTCACTGCTTCTGTCAATGAAGATGTACAAGAAGAGTAGCAATAGTAGGACTTCCGGTTTTGCATAGTAGCAACCGGTCATGGGCTTGCGGATTCTCCATACCCCCCCGGGCTAATTTCACCCTGCCAGGGGACCCTAAATGGGTCCAAGTCTCCCCAGAGAGGCGGCAAAGAAAGAAGAGTGCCCCAGCGATTCTGGAACAACGGAGGTCATTCCCTTTGACTTGGGGAAAACCTTCTAACCCGACAGGAGAAAGGCTGGCCGTACTTCATCGACCAGCCCAAGCTACTTGAAACCAAAGTCCAAAAGTACTAACCAGCATAACTGTGAACAGCGTGTTTGAAACTGGGTGAGGACTTTGATCTTCTCTTTTCTATTCTATATTTAATTTCCTGGAAAAGATCCCCAAGCAGCAAAATACCTCCGAAAGGGAAGGAGGGGGATTTCTGTCGCACCCTTATACGAACGGAAGCGGTGAATTAACCTTTCTATGGAGGATCAAAATATATGAAAGTGAAATAAATAGAAAACCTGAAATTTAAAACTTAAATCTGGACAAATCCAGTGCTTTTTTTCTAAAATAAAAAAAGGTGCCGGAACTCACACACCTCATACAACCTGCCTTGCCTACCCTACAAGGTTCCATCCAAAAAAGGTGCCGGAACTTCGTTCTGAGCATTCTATGAGAAAAAAAGCCCTGGACAAATCTAAAATTTTTGAATGGTTAAGACTCTTATTCTAAAGACAATTGTTCATTTTGGAAGTTGAAAAACAAATAGATGCTGATATCTGGTGGTGGATGAAGACTATGACAGCTATGACTTTCATATAAGACTTGGCAACACCTGGGAAAAGCTAATCTGTGTTTGTGACCTTCAAAGCTTTAACAACAAAGAACAGCTGTGACAAAAAAGACAATAATCTGGGCTGTAAACAAAAAGAGAATTATAAATTTCAGAAAAAAATCTTTTTTGAACTATTTGGATTACAAATATTTATTTAACTGAGACTCTTAAGCTATTTGCAGAGAAAAGAAAAGAAGAGAAAAACTCAAATTCTTGGTCATCATGGATCAAAGATATGTAGAAAGAACATTTCAAGAAAACATAAATACTCCACAGGAGGAGATATATAGTATACTGCAACTAATTCAAACAACAATTATTTCAAACCACAAAGAATTTCAAAATAACTTTGAAAATATAAGTCAATCTATTTCCAAGTTAACTCTACAACAAAAAAATTCCCAGAAAACAACAACAGAGAAGGAGCAGATAAAACAGATAAGTGGATACAAAATTGAGAATAGAGACTTAAAGATGTAACTTAACAAAACAAGGAAACATGATTTAATCCTAGTGGGGAAAAAATCACAAAAATTGGAAAAAATAACTTATCCCTTAAGACTACAAAATAAATCTGAGAACAAGAAAACAGACTGGATAAAATGGACTGTAGAGATGTCAGGAACATCAGAGAGAAAGGAAATGATACGAGAAGCAGAGAGAAAGAAAAAGAAAAAGATTTTCAACAAACATGGAAAGGCAGAAGCCCCGTACAAAGACACTTCATCTGATTTACTTTTTATATCTACAGTAACATTTATGAACATATGGAAAGACCTTTCAACTCAGCAAAATACATTGATCAAGAAGGAAAAAGACTAAAGTGGAAATCAAGAAAATAGATGATGGGACCTACCAGAGAGAATACTTAAAAAAGAAACATTTGTTTGAATATGGTTAAAGAAATATAAAAGATTTGGAATATATATGTCATTCTAACAGGGATGAATCCCTTAAATAATATGGTATGCTTTTTTCCCTTTTTTATTCTATTTCTTGATATGAGTAATATAAAAAAGTTGAAATGGCTTAGATAAAGGAAATGTTTTAGATATTTAAATGTGATAGAATTTAAGAAAATTATAATGGATAAAAATGTTTTGAATAAGAGTTAAAGGACTAGATGTATTAAATGGAATATTTAAAGATTAAATATATTTTTAATTATGGTTAAAAAGAATAAGAAATCTTGGAAACAAATATATATTAGCTTAGGAGGGATATATATTTTAAGTAGTGTGCTATTTTTTATGTTTCTTTACTCTTGCTCTCCTTTCTTTTTTTTTTACTTTTTTATCTATTCCTTAAGAAATGTAAAAGTGCTGAGATAGTTCATATGAAAAAATAGACTTAAATTTTTAAATGTAATCAATTTTTGAGAAAATCTTAACCAGTAAGAATAATTTCAATTTTGTGGGAAAAACAAATTTAAATAAGGACTGTAATAGGATCTATGATAAGTCAACTGGAATGATTGGCTAGAAAAGAAATATTATATTGACGTGATTATTATTTTTAGGAATATTGGGAAATATATATATATATATATTTAATTGTTATCTATCAAAGCAATAAGAATTGTATTAACTCAATGTTTGCAAAAAAGTACATTTTGGGGAAAAGAGGAAATCAACTAAAACCATTATGTGTATTATGGATTATAGAAATCATTTGTTAGTGATTGTTTTACAAATGTAAACCCAAACAACACACTGTTCACCAATTATTAAGTGATCTATGTTTAAAAAAATCAATAAAATATATTACAAAAAAAGAGTAGCAATAGCATGTAGACTTATATCCCACTTCACAGTGCTTGACAGCCCTCTCTAAGGAGTTTACTGAGTCACCATATTGCCCTCAACAATCTTGGTCCTTATTTTACCAACTTCAGAACAATGGAATTCTGAGTCAACCTTGAGGCTGTCAGGATCAAACTGCTGGCAGAGGAATGCAGAGTTAGCATGGGTTTTGCATTCTTAGCACTGTGCCACCACATGTTATTTTCTTATTCTCTTGTGAATTTTATTTCTTTGAAGATGTCATTAATAGCATCATGTGTTTTCTCTAGTTCAGTGGTGGCGAACCTATGGCACGCATGCCAGAGGCAGCACTCTGAGCCCTCTCTGTGGGAACACGCACCATCGCCCAAACCCCACCTCCTCTCACGGCCCCCTCCTCACCAGCACCCCCCGGACAAGAGTCGCCCCAGGCACGGCCCACACAAAGCAGCAGAGCCAAGGACATGGTAGCCGGGAAGTGGGGACAAGACTCCGCCCTTGTGCCCCATTGCGCGCAGATGATGCTGCAGGGCACGGGCGGAGGGCGTGGCCACCATGGCGCTGCTAGGCTGCCTGGGTGATCTATGGCAGGCCGTGGAGGTGGTGGGTGGCCCAGTGGGCAGGGCAGAGCGGGGACAGGTGGGGGCGGTTTTTGGGCACTCGGTCTCTAAAAGGTTTGCCATCACTGCTCTAGTTGGTTCTTTTTTAATACAACAAAGGTGTCATCTACATATCAGAGCCATACTTGGGATTTTATGCATGGCAGTGCTACAGAATTTAGCTCAGGGGTTCCCAACCTGGGGTGCGAGATGATATTCCAGGGGGTGCAAAAACTTAGATTTTCAAAATTATAATGTATATGCATAATTCATTGCTGTTATTTCAAACTTTTGTAAGGGTGCGAGGATATATCAGAAGCATTCTAGGGGTGCGGGGTATAGAAAAGGATGGGAGCCACTGGTTTAGCTCTTGCATTGTGGCCTCTGAGTGACATTGTGGCTTCTTGTCCATATGTTACATATGCCTGAAGACCGGCATCCAAAAATTGCACTACATTGGATATCACCAGGAGAGAAGAAAAAATAAGGCCGGACTCAGAAAACGTGACACCGAACACTTAAGGAAGATCTTAAGATCATTAACGTCCCATGGAAAGATGCCAAAAATGTTGCAAATGATCAAAACCTCTAGAAAACACTTGCCACCCAACGTGCTCTGCACAGGACTTAATGATGGTGATTGTTGAATTCTGAAAGTGATGATCCCACGGGTGCATCTTTGATTTGGTGATACATTTGTCCATTAAACTGAAAATATGTGGTCAAGCAAAGGTTGATGAGATAATCAAATACACCAAGATTGAAATACTCAGAATCATAGACCTCAGTCTCTTCCTCACAGGTGTGTTAAAATCCTACCTTTGTCACTTTGAGGTATGCTACAAAGTGTCCTAGGCAACTGAAATGCTCTGGTACTATTTTGGCCTTGTTTTGGGTGCTGACATCAAAATTCTGTCCATTAATTATTTTGTGGCAAAGTCTGCCCTATTTGCCCTATGTCGAAGCTGTTGGTTCAGAGTTTCGGGTTTGTTGCAGGATCTGTTTCCCATATTAGCATCCTTGTCCTGTTGCTTCTTGCTGCTACTCAGAATCTGCTTCAAGCTGCATGGTTTTCTGTATGCAAGCACAAGCCTGCCACCTAGTGCATGACAAAGGGCAGGATCATTACCCGGTATGGGCTGTAGCTTATTTATATTGTATTTGATTGGTTTTTGCTGTGAGCTGTGGGTGACAAGCAGTGGTGTTCCATTGTTCTGTTTCTGTGGCCTATCTTTCAACAGGTCTTCCCTGGAAATAGATCTGGCAGATGAATATAAAATCTGTAAATTCTGTCATCATTTTACTGATTGGAGAGTAGGAAGAGCAAATATCCAAGCCTCAATTTTCCCACGTGTTGATAGCCCTGCTGCTATGGTCTGCTCTTGTCCATTCTACTAGCAGGTTATTGGTGGTCTGTGTCATATGCTGGTGGGTAAGATCTGCTGTTGTAGGCATTCAGAGTTGTGGTGGTACAGTGGTTAGAATGTAGCATTGCAGGCTAACTCTCCCGACTGCCAGGAGTTCGATCCTGACCAGTTCAAGATTGACTCAGCCTTCCATACTTCCGAGGTCAGTAAAATGAGGACCCAGATTGTTGGGGGCAATATACTGACTCTGTAAACTGCTTAGAGAGGGCTGTAAAGCACTGTGAAGCGGTATATACCGTGTTTTCCCGAAAGTAAGGCCTACCCCAAAAATAAGCCCTAGCTTGATTTTGGGGGGTAGGCCTAATATAAGCCCTACCCCATAAATAAGCCCTAGTTTTGGGGCGAGGCACACACTTAAAAATCAAGCTAGAGCAGGGGTGAGGGGGGTGAATCTGCCTTATGCACCCTGCACCCACTTGAACACTGGGCGCTATCTAACAAAATGAAATTCAATGGTGAAAAAAGTAAGGTTCTACATTTAGGCAAGAAAAACCAAATGTACAGGTATAGTATAGGGGGTACCTTGCTCAATAGTAGTAACTGTGAGAGGGACCTCGGAGTTCTAGTGGACAATCACTTAAATATGAGCCAGCAGTGTGCTGCAGCTGCCAAAAAACCCAACACAGTGCTAGGTTGCATTAACAGAGGGATAGAATCAAGATCACGTGAAGTATTAATACCACTTTACAAGGCCTTGGTAAGGCCACGCTTGGAACACTGCATCCAGTTTTGGTCACCACGATGTAAAAAAGATGTTGAGACTCTAGAAAGAGTACAGAGAAGAGCAACAAAGATGATTAGGGGACTGGAGGCTGAAACATATAAGGAACGGTTGCTGGAATTGTGTATGTCTAGTTTAACAAAGAGAAGGACGAGGGGGGATATGATAGCAGTGTTCCAATATCTCAGGGGCTGCCACAAAGAAGAGGGAGCCAAGCTATTTTCCAAAGCGCCTGAAGGCAGGACAAGGAGCAACGGGTGGAAACTAACCAAAGAGAGAAGCAACCTAGAACTAAGGAGAAACTTCCTGACAGTTAGAACAATTAACCAGTGGAACAACCTGCCTCCAGAAGTGGTGAATGCGCCAACACTGGAAGTTTTTAAGAAGAAACTGGACAGCCATTTGTCCGAAATGGTATAGGGTTTCCTGCCTGAGCAGGGGGTTGGAC